GGTTGCAACGTTTCCATGGGGTATATTTTATTTGTACTCGGATTTACTCGAAGGTTGCTCATTGTTGAAATTAAGCAAATACGTGTTTTGACAATTTTTAAAAATCAACCCTTAAGGATGAAATGTTGTTGCTACGTTTGTATTTGAAATCTAAGATGGCGACATTACATAAAATAAAAACGTTGTAAGGGTGAATTGGGAGTTAAAAGGTTTTATGGAGAAACAATATTAATTTCTGCGAGCGAAGCCGCGGGGAAAAGCTAGTAATTGATAAAATAATTCAAATTCAACACAACATAAACAATTAATGTCATAAAACATTTTACTGATGCCTATATCTGCATGATTAATTCATGAGATATTCAAACTGTTGACACAAATTTAATCTGTCAGTTAAGGACCTATTTATATTTGTATTCCATGGGAAAAATCTAATTTTATCAGATCTGGTGACCTTGGAGGTCAAGTAACAGATCTTCGTCTTCGAATCGAACGGTCTGAAAACTTTTCATCCAGAATATTTCACCCCATCTAACTGGAGTCACATCCTTCTTAATAACTCCAATGGTACATCATCCAGCATATTATAAAGATATTTACACAACAAGGTTTGAAAAATGTTCCCGTAAGTTGTTCATCAATTTCTAATTATGTAACTCCAAACCTTTACACTCCACCTATGCTGGTGGTCAGTGGGTCCCACAAAATTTGGATTTATGTCTGTGGAAATTTAAATTATGTCGGTTCTCATGACCTTTATGTATAGTTTGTTTCAAGAAGTTGGAGATATGCCCCTTCCCTTTATTAGGATGCGCCGTAGCATAAATCCAAATTCAATCATATTTGTCTGCGGAGCTCATTTCTACACCGATCATCGAGCGAGAACAAAAGTGTACAGTACCATTTGCAAAATTATTTAAACTGCCTCGTTAAAATTTAAGAATATGCTTTATTTAAAAGTATATTTAGCCAAATTAAGTGAATTAACTTAACGCTCTACACACCTATAAAACTTTTGCTTTGTTTTCTATTGTTAATTTAGATACATTTTTGTTTTAAGAAATTGCTAAACATTTTCGTCTAGTACTGTACAGTTCTAGCCGATCTCCTAAGACCGCCCATCGAGAGCTCTGCTCGTTCAAGCTTGTTCCAGCTATTTCTATCTTGCTCACGGCTAGCGTGTATTTTTTCTATCTTCGCGCAGATTTCTTCAAGGTCACAATTCCAACAAATTAAAATGGACTGTAGCTTCATCGATGAACAACACTGTGTTAAAAAAACTGTAAATCTTCTTGAATTCGTCTTGCTGAAGTTTATGTTTTTGTTTGGGTATTATTGTCTCATTTGTTTAAAAAAATAACACCAGATATTATTTTTGACGTAAAACTATTGTGCCGTCAGCATTCTCTTCTTGATTACTTATATTATGCATTCGTGCAAGTGACTTAAACTTTGCAGAGGAAAAGACATTTTAAATTCGTGCCAAAGTTTAAGGCTGTCAAAGCAGACTTTATCTGGAGATGCAGTTTCGGTTTCTATTTGTGTTTAAACTTTTCTCCG